TCTATTTTGTCTCTTTTGTCTATTTATCAGTACACTTACCCTTCCTATGTTTTGGTTTACATTTCCATATATCTTTTTCCATTCTTTCTCTTTTAGTCTGGGTCCTTAGAAGTAAAGTATGAGTGTCTTGAAGGCAACACATAGTTGAGTCTTCCAGACATATGATTCTAAACAACTAAGCATATGGTAACATAGTCCACTAGGTATATAGAAACTTTGAGTTAGGCATCTGGCCAGTGGTACAACCAGATTTCATGGAGCCTGTAGCTTATATAATTTGAGGAATACTTAAAAAAAAAGGAACTTAGGTTTCAAACACCAATTTAGGTACAAGTGCGAAGTAATAAATTTTAAGCTTCATTGGCTTTATGGTAAATTTACCTCTGCATCTGCAACATGATGAACATTCTATATAGTTGGCCAGGTGTCGTGGCACACACCTGTAATCCCAACACTCAGGAAGCTCAGATAGGAGGATCGCCACAAGTTTGAGACCATCCTGGGTTACATATGAGTTCAGGACCAGCTTAAACTACGTACCAAGACACCATCTCAAAATAAAACCAAAAAATTCTATAATTTATCGAATGATTTTTATTAATAAATGTTAAACTTGAAGTTGGGGTGAATATGACTACTCTAGTGGTAGCTTTTTGCTCTCATTCTTTTTAATATGACTTAACAGTATGTTAGCCTTAGTCTCAATCAGCTTTACTTCATGTCTTTATTTCATGTATGCTCTATAAATGAAAAGTGAGGAATCTTACAAGATTCTTTTCCAAAAAGAAAGTAAAAATTAAAGACCTTCATGGTAGAGTGATAGTGTCAATTTAAGAACTGCTAAGGTATATCCTCTTCAAATTAACCCCAATTCCCTGTTACAATTTTTTAAAATTAAGAGGAGAAATCACAGCATTCATGGAGAATAAGAAAGTGAGACAGTTTATTCCAGAAATAATTTGTGGGATCCAGATTTTATAACCAACCTTTACAACACCACTAAACATAAAGTACTCACAGTAGGACTCAAAAGTAAAACCATGCATATATGAGGGTTTTTTTCCTTTGGTTTATACCCTTGTATATCAGTGCTACATAGCCTTAATAGTGACTAGAGTAATTCTTGGATATTCTTTTTTGCGGTGGGTAGGGTACCGGGGATTGAACCCAGGATCTTGCACTTGTGAACCAGGCACGGTGCCACTGAGCTAAATTCCTGGCCCCATTCTTGAATATTCTTTACCATTTGTTTTCACATGAACTTTAAGAACAGTCCTTCAAGTTCCATGAGAAATTTTGAGGGGGTTTTGATTAAAGTTTCACTGAATTGATCAGATTATTTTTGGGCTAGAAGTTTTTTTAAATGTAGTCTTTCCAGCCATAGCAGGTCTGTTATGGGTTGTATTTAGATGTGCCCCCAAACTTCATGCAGTCAGAGGTAGGGCTTTTCAGAAATGGCCGGATCTAGAGTGTGTGGTACTGGGATTAAGGGTATGTGATTACTAAATTTGTCCACTGATTGGTTTAGTGTAGTTCTAGGTGTGCATAATGGGAAGGCCCACCCTGGGTGTGGGTGGCACCACCCAAAAGACAAAGCCTGGATGGGATAAAAGGGAGAGGAAGGTTTGCTGCTGCTGCCTCTGTCTGCTGTTTTGCTGCTGCTTCTTGCTGCTTCACTGTCTTCTGCCTGCTTCCCATGGACTATTTCTCCTCTATGATGTCACCCTGCCTTGGAGTCAGCCAAGTATGGATTGAAACCTCTACAAACTATGAGTTGAAATTAACCTTTCCTCCTTTAACTTTAGATGTCAGGTATTATGTCTCAGCAAAGAGAAAAGTAAGACAAGGTCTATGTCTGTATTTTAATCAGGTGGTAATTTATGTCCTTCAACAATGGTTGATAATTTCTTTTCAGATGTATTGCTGTATCTTTGCTTATTTTCTGTGAAGAAGCAGATACATATTTCATCAGAGAACCGAAAACAGAAAAGGGGACATTTATAAAGCTAGAGAACCTTGATTCCAGATAAGGGCAATCCAAGTTTTAAAAAAAATCACATAGTATACTTAACAGTGTAGATGAAGATCTTAAATATCAGCAAATTGAATACAGTTGTATATATGTAACTTTTAATTATTAATAATATCTTTAATGAATATAAGGACATGAAAGTACCATATCACCTGAATTAAAAGCAGAAAGGCACAAGATTATTTCATTTTATGTACATTTAAATTGCTTCTAATTTTCCATTCCTATAACCAGTACTTTAATCACCAATCTTGGACATACATTATCCTATCATTTTCTTAGGGAGATTTTTCTAAAAGAATATGTGAAGTTGAGGCCAGAGATGTATCTCAGTGGCACGACACCACGTCTGCCTGGCAAGCGCAAGGTCCTGAGTTTGACCCCTTGTACCAGGGAAAAAAAAGAATATGTGAAGTTTAAACTTTGATATATTGTTAAATATGAGTCCAGCAAACTTTCTTTGTAAAAGACCAACAAATATTATAGGCTTGTGGACCAAGAGGCAAAACTGAGATTATTATGTAGGTACGTTTATAATGAGAGAAAACAGATTTCCATAAATCTTTATTGATGAAATAAAAATATGATAAAATTGAGCACAATGATAGAAATTTTTGCCTCCAAAAATGAATTGGATTCTTTTGGGGGAGATAACATTGGTTTTCACTGTCATCCAAATCTATTGCATTAAATATTGATTGTTAATGCTCATCTACAATGAGATTTTCCATGTTTCACCTTTGCAAATGTCTTTCACATACAGTACATAGGTACTGCCAAACACTGATATCAATCCATGAGCATATGGTTTTATTTGAGCATATTCACAGATTGGAAGGCATTTTTAGAATTCTATTAGCTAAAAGGCTAGAATGCCTTTTAGCATGTCATTACATTGCAAATCACTTCCAATTAAAGTTCCTCAATTGCAGTTTAATGGATTTTGGAATATGGAAATTTCCTTTGCACATGCATAGAAGTCTGAAAACTACTGCTGTAGTTTGAAATTAGAAAATATATTGTGGGGAACTTGTGTAGGAATGGAAATATCACTTTTTTAAAAGACTTTGACAGTGCAGCCCTGACATTACTTGCAATTCAAACAATGTTAGTTCTCATTGAAATGACTTTATCACAGGGTTTCACATATAAGTTTCACATATAAACACTATTTTGCCTTGTAATTTTAGCTTGAGACATTTTCAAGTATGCAGTAAAAGCCATTCAAAAAGCAGTAGTCAAGTGCAGTTCTTCCAACCATTTAAAAATGTAAAAAATCATTCTTGAGAACTGTACAAACACATTTCAGATATGGCTCATTGGCCATAGCTTGCTGATCTCTGCTCTATAAAGTTTTAATCAGTTATTTTCCCACTAAGTTTACTGTTTTCCCAAAGTTTTGTAACCAGTGAGCACTGATTTAACCAATGAGATTTTTGTCGTTTTGTTTTTTTGAGACAGGGTCTAGCTGGGTAGTTCAGGCTGGCCTTGAACTCACTATGCAGACCAGGCTGGCCTTGAACTCATGGTGATCCTCCTGCCTTTAACTCCCAAGTGCTGGGATTACAGGCATGTGCCACCCACACCCAGCTATCAATGAGGTTTTTGTATTTTAACTCTCTTTACATACGATATATTATGTACTGTAAAATGACTACACACTGTATACATGTATTGAGTTATGACAGTGTGTTCCAAAAATTAAAATGACATTTTTTAATTCATATTTATTTGAATAAGGTGAAATATCTTTTCCTTATTATAGGCCACATATTTATTTCTTCTTTGTAAACTAGCTTTTGATACTTTTTTCTTACAGTGAAATTTTCAATAATCATTCTGCAGACCATAAAGACTTTTAAGCCCTTTTTAGTGCCTCTACCTGTTTATTCAGTATTATTTTACACTGCCTTCTTCACATCCAATACTTCTTCCATTCAAAAGACCTACCATTAAGGGCCGGGTATTTAGCTCAGTGGTTTCACCGCCTGCTGCGCAAGTGCAAGGACCAGAGTTCGATCCCCGGTACCAAAAAAAACCCCACAAAAGACCTACTGTTGCCTGACAAAGCTATGAAAGATTTCTCAAACTTCTTTGCACCAGATATCAGTCATTCTTTGTTGCCTTTTGTCCTTCCCTTTTAGTCTAATTTTCACTCATCCCTCAAAGCTCAGATCAAGGACAAGTTCCTCCTCTTTGGCTCCAACCTGTGCAAATATCTGCCATAAAATCAATCACAGCTTTATATAATTAACTGTTGGTTAATAATAATAGTCTGTCTCTCCGCTGGACTGAACTCTTGACATTTGTGTTGTATTTGATGAGTGTGTTCAGAACAGTGCCCAATGCTTATCAGATACTAATTATTTGTTGACTGTATGAGTTCAAAATAGTAGCAGTATTGGTAATATTAACAAATATATACCATATACATAAAAATGAAAGATGTTCTCTGTGTAATACTACTTACATAGCCCTTTTTACTTAACATAGTACAATATACAATTAAATTTTTAAGAAGTTACCTCAAAGTCACATACAGTGGTGTATGCTCAGGCAACTGAGCCAGGAGAATCACTGAGTTCAGGAGTTCAAGATCAGCCTGGGGGGAAAAAAAAAAAAAGCGAAAAGGATCCCTCAGATATTAGATCTTCACCAAATAAAATAATAATTAAGGTTTTTATTCCCCGATAAAACTGAGGATATCATTTATTAAAATGTTTTTTCTCTTAAGACATAAAATAATTTATTTAGATAACTGCCTTTAGTTATAGCATTGGTCTCCAGTTAAGAAAAATTTATTTGTACTGGGAAAGAAAACTGAGAATTTAAAAATACAAAAAAGAATATTCATTGGGCTGTGTCTATTTTGTCATCTGAACAGTAAGTTTCTTCCTTTCAAAATCTCCTTTGTAACTTGACCAAGAATCATTTTGAATTAATCTTTTACTTTGCTTTATTTCCCAAGGATATCCATTACCTTGCCCTAGATAAGGGTGAATTGGCACTAGCTGAAGTGGCAAGGAAAAAAGCGAGTGACATTGATGAAGAATCAATAACCTCTGGAGTTGGTAATGCTGGTTTTTTTTAATGGGCTTTTTGTTTTAATCAATACTTAGTATCACTTTTATTTGTTTGTAGACCATGGTTGGTTAATTTCAATTACATTCTTTGTAAAGAAAGTGTCCTTTAAAAAAGAATTATTAAGTTTGAAATTACTACAATATTGGTAAACAAGTTGTAATTATATATGAAAATTCATTATCAGTGATTAGTCACTAGCAAAAAATGAAAAAATTACTTTTTTTGATAAGATTTTTGGGAAAAGAGTTTTTTATCATCAGTGCTGTTATAAACCAACATAGAAACTTATATAACCATTTATTTACACACAAGACATATTATATCTTAAAAGAATTTTCTCCTGTATCAAAGTATTTCATATGGGATTTCAGGTTTGATGGGTGATTTTTTTCTTTAGAAACTGCTAAGGTTATTTTTAGAGTGTGGTATTCCAAAAAAGTAACAGAAGCCAAGTTTGAATCTAAAGATTCATTTAAACTTTACAATATGGAAAAATAAAAGATTTTTAAATGTACTATAAACATTAACTTCCTTTTCCTTTTTGGTACTGAAGATGAAATCCAGGGGCACTCTAACCACTGAATTATGCCTCCAACCCTCTCTGGTTTTTGAGGCAAGGTCTCACTAAATTGCCTGGGCTAGCCTGAATTTGTGATCCCTCTGCCTCAGCCTCCCAAGAAGCTGGGGTTAGAGGTGTGCACCACTGCAGTCCCGCTGAACTTTTTTTTTCTAAGCTCAATTTATCTAATGTCACAAAATCTGGCAGTATTGAAACTTGACCATCACAATTCCAATTCTTCCTGGCATCTCTTACTCCTAGATTATATAAACAACCCTCAAGATTATAAGAGAATTCATTTCATTTCTGTGTAGATTCCTATAAAACAAGAGGTTTTCATCTCTTTATACCTAGTGTTTCACTTTTGGAACTCCCATAACAGTGAAACATAATAAATTTCTCTTCAAATTCTTGTTACTTGAATTTTTTTAGGTAACATATATGAATTTCATGTGAAAAATTTTAAAATTGCCAGTGATTTAGCTCAGTGGTGCTGCCGCCTGCCTTGCAAGTGCAAGGTCCAGGGTTCGAGCCCCAGTACCAAAAAAAAATGCAATCTTCAACGTAAATGGCTTGATAAAATTCCCACATTGTAAGTGCTTGAAAATATTATAGTGAACTTCTCCACTGATAGATTATCTTACACTTTGTCTTTGTGATGATTATGTTTACAGCCAAAAGGACCAAGTGGCTTCCAAACTGACAAACTGACACATTATACGTTCCAGTTTTCAAAATGATTTTTAAGGGCACTCCCAAGCCATACTACTAGGGTAGCCCTAAACCTAAATATTAGGATTGACAATTAGTTACTAGTAACAGAATTCCATTCTTCTTCCCCACCCTGAGAAAGTTGCATATTGAGCCCTTAAGAATACCTGTAGTTGGCCTATCATTACACTGTATCTTGTTACTAAGACTATGATGTGTCTCATAATAACAATAATAATAGTTAGCATTTATTGAATGCTCCCTGTGAGACAGACACTATTCCAAATTACAGATATCAATTAATTTAATCTCATCATAACGCTGTGTTGCAGGTATAATTTATATTTGTTATGAGAAGTCCCTTTTAAATAAATTATGAAACCATATTAATAGAAATTATTATGTTATATAATGGGGATTTTAAAAAAATCTGCACCCCTATCTCTTTAGCCATTCAGGAAAACACAGCAAGAGGTAATTCAAGCTAACTTTCTAGGAATTTTCTAGTGGCCCTATTTGCCTTTTCCATCAGGATATCAAATATAATGAAATCTGTCTTTGTATTTTAAAGCTACTTAAAGGTACTAAGGGAGGAAGGGAATGTGAAGAAATTGCCATTAAATTTCAGAAAAATGAAGAAACTCCATTATTCACCAAAATGGATCTTGTGTCCCTCTAGGGCAGGTCACTGTGGCCAAGTGATAATTCCTAGACAGAAAGCTGGATGTCCCTCCCTTGAGCCCTGCCTTATTTTTAGCAAATACATTTTTGCTGAAGCCCATGACCCCCGTTTTCTAAGGCTGTGACCCAGATTACTGTCCCTTGATAAAGACATTACTCAGTAACTCGGTAGCTAACAAAAGGCTAACCTCTTAAATGAATACAGTATTCACTCCATTTTTATTCTAGAAAACTGGGTGACTCTCAGTCATGACTCTAAATGGAGTTTAGGGAACAATCTCTAATTTCCTCATTATAGTCTATGCCCTTTTCTTCGTTACAGCCCATATCATGCTGGGGCACGCTAATTTTTCTCATATTCCCTCAATTTAATTCACTATTCTCTCAAACTTTTCCCAAAGCAGAAAGTGATTAAATTTTTGGCTTTCAAAGGTGTTCTTTGATACAAGCAAGAGGCTAAATTAGATAGCAAGAATACTTAAGTAGTTCAGTCTATATGGGAGAATCTGTAAAAAAAAAAAAGTATTACACATAGTAGCTGTCAACACAGTTAAAAGCAAGTGTTGCCAAAGGAAAAGCTGAATGATAATCTGAATAATTTGGTAATTTTTAAAAGCTTTTTATTAAAGTGTAGTATACATATATACATAAAAATGCACAAATCATAAGGATATGACCCAATGAACTTCCTTCCACAAAGTGAACACATCTGGTAGCCAATATCTAAGCCAAGTAACATATATTACCAGAAGTCCTCCTGTATCCATTACAAGATGCTATACCCCCATCCTACCTATCCTGACTTTATAACACCTTATTTCAAGCTTTAGCGAATGTAATGATAGGAATTGAGTTCATTTTCATCAACACAATGACTGTGAGAATCTTTCATGTTGTTGCAGGTAGTTGTAATTCTTTTTCTTTTATTTTTGATGCTATGGCTCAAACTTGTGCATGCTAAACATAGGCTCTATCGCCAGCCTGTAGTTTCTTTCATTCTTATTGTTTGACAGTATTCCAGTGTATGAATGTACTATAATTTTATTCATTCTATTTTAATGGATTCTGGCTAATTTCTATTTTTAATGTAATATGTGAAATACACTATTGTATATGCAATGTATACATTTATAATATTTAGTTGGCTAGCTTTTTAATTATTTTGTTTCCCCTTCTGGCAGCCTTGTTTTATTTTTGGTATATTCCCCACTTACACAGGATATCTTATATAAAGTGCATACTTGTCAGACATGCTAACTTCTGTAAATCTTGATGGGGGGAAAATTTATAATCAACTTTGATGTAACATAACACATGTACATGCTTAATGTCTATAAAATTAAGCTTTGTATCTATTTTTCCTTTGCTTGCATTTCAATACTATGTGCAAATTTTTATTTTATTGCTTATAGGACAAAAGAGGTAGAGCTCAGATGAAAATGCATACAGTGAGTATAGGTGTAAAATCATTTTGAAAAAGACATAAACATCATAAGCCAAAAGTCAGCATTTCTGTTATAGTATAGTCAGAATGTAAATTAAGGCCCTGCAAACATTGTTGACCTAAATTGAATGCTTGGTGATTTCTACACTACTTGATTATTTCAGATTTTTCTTTCCTCTAATCACCTATTCTCTGTTTGTACATTTTATCATGTTAAATGTCAGAAATGTACTTTTAAGGGTGTACAAACTGGCTGGGGCTGGAGGCTGCAAAATGCTCTATGACAAAATTTTGAGTATGGACTTTGACATCAGACTTACAGTTGCAAGACCATGGGCAGGTAACTTACCTTCTCTGTGCCTCAGTTTCCTCATCGTTAAGTGGAGGTGATATATTAGTACCTATATTGTGGATTATTGTGGGATTAAGTTAGTTTATGATTCTTTGAACAGTATCTGGCAAACAATAATGGTTAGCTATTAATAGTGCCTTTATATAGTATGTATATGTATTTCTAGTAATAAACATTCTTGAGTGGTAAGATTATTATATCTTGAAATATAAACTGTTATTTCTTCTTGATCATACCTTAATTCCTACATGTTTAAATTTCAGAATTCTTTATTAAATATAGAATTTAGTAAGTCTTTCGTATCAGAAAAGTAATAACAAAGGGCATCCAATGAGATTTTCCTACTCATGATCCTTCCACCTCAATCTTTTGAGTTGCTTGGGATACAGATGCCCACCACCATGCCTAGCTAAGATTTTCCTATAAAGAAGAATATATTTTTAGGGGGCTGGGGATTTAGCTCAGTGGTTCCGCCACCTCCCTCACAAGTGCAAGGTCCCAAGTTCGATCCCCGGTACCAAAAAAAAAAAAAAAAAGTATATTTTTATAATAGTGTCATTTCCAGTTTAAACTTAGGAAGTCATACTGACACCAGTCTCTAGTACAATACAAACTAAAATCTGTCCTCTTGTATTTTCATCATTGGCCAAGACTATATGAGCTTCATCAGTGGTGTACCAGTAGTGCTATAATGCCAATGATGTGTTAGATATGAACTATTATAGACTGCCATAAAACACAATAACAAAGAATTTTATTTAACATTCACATGCACACAGGGTTATCAAAATATATGGTGATTATTTACATACATTTATTACTGTAAAAGATATATTTCCATTAATTTCCCCCAGAATACTTCCCCTCACTTCAAACACAGTATCCATTGTTCTTGCAACTTTTTGAAGCAGTTCTAGAAGTCCTTCCATGGGTACCTTTACAAGGTATGATTAAAAAAAATATATGGTGATTGTGCCGCCAAGTACCATGCAGTGGAAAGGAAGACTCATAAAATCAGTGTGTCCTCATCCATTTTATCCATTGGATCTGGCACCACGTGACTTCTGACTCTTCCCCAAAGTCAGATGACCATGAAAGGTAAAAGTTTTAACATCAAGGCAGCTACAACAGTGCGAGTAAAGATACTCAAGAAAGAGGACTTTCAGAACTGCTTCAGAAAGTGGCAAGAAAGATGGGATAAATTGTGTGTGAAGTGAGAAGTATTTTGAGTGGAATTAAT